CCTCTTTAATCCCCGCTTTCTCAGTTGTTTCACAAGACTCTTGTGTTCATGTCTTCAATGATGCAACCGCGACATCTTTTGCTAAACCAAAGTTCTGCCCTGGCGCATCAGGGCGAAGCCCCTAAAATTTAGGGTTTAGGGTTTAGGGTTTAGGGCTTAGGGCTTAGGGCTTAGGGCTTAGGGCTTAGGGCTTAGGGTTTAGGAAAGCCCAAACCCCCAAACCCTAAACCCTCCAATGATGGCGCAGGAGCGACGTGACGAGCTCATGGGCCACTTGGCGACAGAGCAAAGAGTGTTTGGGTCTCGCAGTTCTTGGAAGAGTTCTTAGGGGCTGGGGAGGTAGTTAATTTTTAACCTTTTGGGTTATATATATATATTATATTATTAGTGCATAGTCTCTAATCCTAACCCCTAAACCCCCTAAACCCCCTAAACCCCCTAAACTCCCTAAACCCCCTAAACCCCCTAAACTCCCTAAACCCCCTAAACCCCCTAAACTCCCTAAACCCCCTAAACACCCCCTAAACCCCCCCTAAACCCCCCTAAACCCCCTAACCCCTAAACTCCCAAACCCCCTAAACCCCCTAAACCCCCTAAACCCCCTAAACCCCCTAAACCCCCTAAATCCCCTAAACCCCTTGAACCCCTAAACCCTAAACCCTAAACCCTAAGCCCTAAGCCCTAAGCCCTAAGCCCTAAACCCTAAACCCTAAACCCTAAACGAACCTTTTTTGAGCTAGGGTAGACAGCCGCGCAGAGTCGAAGTGAACTGCCAATTTCAAGTGAGGAGGAGCTTGCCGAGGGTTTGGGGCATGGAGGGCTTATGTCTTCAGGGTTTAGGGTTTGGGGTTTAGGGTTTAGGGTTTAGGGTTTAGTGTTTAGGGGTTTAGTGTATAGGGTTTTGGGTTTAGGGTTTAGGCTTTAGGGAGATGTTTTGCCCAGTTTGTGGGGACAAAGCTTGAGACTTGTTCTTGGCGCACCAAGAAACGACCCTACCTGGAAGCCCCGAATGCAGTTCCTTTTTTGAGCTGGTGTACTACCCAACCCTAAACCCAAAACCCTGAACACTGAACCCTAAACCCTGAGCCCTAAGCCCTAAACCCTAAAGCCAAAACCCTAAACCCTAAACCCTAAGCCCTAAGCCCTAAACCCTAAACCCTAACATAAGCCATAGGAGCGCGTAGGAAACCCCAACTCTCAATCCTTCAGCCCCAAAAGGAAAGCTGGAGGACTTCAAGGAGGTAAAGGCGAAGCACAAGTGGAGCCACTGAGCTAGGGTTTAGTGTTTAGGGTTTAGGGTTGAGGGTTTAGGGTTGAGGGTTTAGGGTTTAGGGTTTAGGGTTGAGGGTTTTGGGTCGAGGGTTGAGGGCTTAGGTTGAATTCATGTGATGTTGCTTCGGCTTAGGGCGCAAGCCTCTGCTCCCCCTGCAAACTTGCGAGCGTGAAGAAGCTAAACCCTAAACCCTAAACCCTAAACCCTAAACCCTAAACCCTAAACCCTAAACCCTAAACCCTAAACCCTAAACCCTAAACCTGCAAGGTTTATGGGGCAAACTCTAACCCCTGAACCTGAAGCCATCAAGCCGCAGCCCTAAAGGGTTGAGTTGTGAAGGGTTTCGAGGGCCCCAAGCCCAAAAGGGACCTTTGGGGTTTAGGGTTTAGTGTTTAGTGTTTAGGGGTTATTTAGATTTTTTTTTGTCAGGTTTTCTCCCCCCCTTGGAGCACTCGGATGCTAGGGCTTGGAACTGAGGGAGCCCTTACTGTCGGCCAAGGGAAAGACAAGTGGAACCGCTGGAAGAAGTCCCAAACCCTTTTGGGAAGGAGCCCCGGTGTTTGGCGAGGGCTGATGATTTGGGGGTTTGGCTGTTGGCGCTTATGGCCCCCAGCTTTGGGAGCTATTAATTGTAAACGCTTGCGCGCGCCGCCTCGGCAGCCGGGCCGGCCCCAGGAAAGGAGGAAAGAGGGTTTCACAAAAAAAGGGAGGAAGGGCAGAGCGGGTGGGGGGGGGGTCGGGGGGGGGTGAAGGGGGGGGTGGGGGCACTCCCGCTGTAGGAGTGAAGCGGGACCCTCCACAGCATGGGTTTGCAAGCTCCTCCAAGCAATTGGGGGGGGGTGCTCCTCCAAAGCGGGGGGGGGTGGGGGGGGGGGTGGCGTCAGAAAGGAGGCCCGATCCGGGGTCTGCTTGTTCCAGACGCTTTTCGGCAGGAAGCCGAGGCGAATTAGGGTCAGGGTTTAGGGTTTAGGGTATTTAGGGTTTAGGGTTTAGGGTTGAGGGTTTAGGGTTTGGTTTCTCTTTGGGTGGAAGGGTTTAGGATTCTAGCGTGGGCTTACAGGTTTCGGGAGCTTTCGTCCGATGCACCCCGGCGTTTTCATTCCAGGGGTTTCCGAAATTAGGGGGACCTCATTGAGGGCCTTATTATCAGGGGATCCTACTCTGTGGGGGTCTATATTGGGGTCCCCTATTTTCGTAAACCGATTACAGTCCCTGAAGTTGAACGCTAAAGTTCCGCAGTTTTTGGGTTTAGGGTATTATCGGATACTGGCAAAAAGCGAAGGATCAAGGTTCCAAGAGCCCTAGGCCATAACCCCTAGACCCTAGACCCTAAATCCTAGACCCTAAACCCTAGCCCTAATTCCTAAACCCTAAACCCTAAACCACATAATCCAAGACTCGTGATGTTTAGCTGAAAGCAGGGGAGTCTCCCCCTAACGGTGCAGGGTTTAGAGTCTGTTGTTTCAGAGTTGGGGTAGTTTAGGGTTCAGGACTTGGGGTTTAGGGTTAGGGTTTAGGACTTAGGGTTTATGAGGCAGGTCGTCGGCAATGGGGGGGGGGGGGGCAGCTTTTATAGGGTGGCCCACAGCTGATGCTGGCCCTGAGGCCGGTTTCAAGTGGAAGGGCCCGCAGCTGATGCTCATGATGCTGGCACCAAACCCTAAACCCTAAGCCCTAAACCCTGAACCCTGAACCCTGAACCCTGAACCCTGAACCCTAAACCCTAAACCCTAAAGCCTAAGCCGGTTTCACGTGGAAGGGCCCGCAGCTGATGCTCATGATGGCGGCTTTGGGACCGGCATTACGCCAAAGGGGCCCGCAGCATCAGGCTAATGATGCTAGCCCTGAGGCCTTATGGGGTTAGGGTTTATAGGGTCTCGGGTTTTGAGGTGTATACAGGTTTAGGGTTTAGGGTATAGGTTTAGGGTTTAGGGTTTAGGGTTTTGGGGTTTAGGGTTTAGGGTTTAGGGTTTAGGGTTTAGGGTTTAGGGTTTAGGGTTTAGGGTTTAGGGCCTTTGCTGCGAGGAGCCGCAACATCAACTACAAGGCCTGGGAGTACTGGGAGCCCGACACCGACTCCGAGGAGGAAGGCGCGCCGTTTAGGGTTTGGTGGTGAACTTGGCATGTGGGTTGTCCTAAACCCTAAACCCTAAACCCTAAACCCTAAACCCTAAACCCTAAGCCCTAAACCCTAAACCCTAAACCGGCCCTCGAAGTCCTGGGTTTGTGATTAGGGTTTTGGGTTTTGGGCTTTGGGTTTTGGGTTTTGGGCTTTGGGTTTTGGGTTTTAGGCGGTTTTGGGTTTTTTGGGTGGTTTTGGGTGGTTTTGGGTGGTTTTGGGTTTTGGGTTTTGGGTGGTTTTGGGTTTTGGGTTTTGGGTTTTGGGTTTTGGGTTTTGGGTTTTGGGTTTTGGGTTTTGGGTTTTGGGTTTTGGGTTTTGGGTTTTGGGTTTTGGGAATGGGTTTTGGGTTTTGGGTTTTGGGTTTTGGGTTTTGGGTTTTGGGTTTTGGGTTTTGGGTTTTGGGTTTGTGGGGCTCTGGGGTACTCTCTAAGCCTCAATGCCGCCCTCGGCAATACATACATCCATCAGTGGATCTATCCCCCGAGTCTCATAGGGTTTCGGGTTCAGGGTTGAGGGTTTCTTGTGTAAGGTTTAGGAGTGTTGGAGATGTAGACATCTAAGCCCGGAAACTCGCATGTACTTCGAGGTGCCTGGCCCAAACGTGCCCCCAAAGTCCGGACACTTCCTTTTTGGATATAGGGCCTAGGGCTTAATATGAGCGCCTGAATAATGAGAATAGGGGTTTGGGGAGTACTATAGTATAATTACAAAGGGACTATGAGGGAATATGCTTAGTAAATTATTCCGACCCCCTTTTTTATTTAGGGCTTAGGGCTTAGGGATTCGGCCGCTGTATGATGAGGCGACCCCATTGTGCCGAAAGACAATCCGGAGTTCATCGCAGGGGGGCCTGACACGGTAAGGGGTTTATGGGTCTAGGGGTTTAGGGATTTAGGGTTTAGGGTCTAGGGTTTAGGGGTTAGGGGTTTAGGGTTTAGGGATTTAGGGTTGAGGGTGTAGGTTTCTAAGCCCCTACGGAGGCAAAAGCCCTTACCTTGTCGAAGCTGAAAGGTCTCGGGGATTTTCGGTCGAAGGATTTCACACTCGTTCCAACTGGATTCAACATGGAGTTCGGGTGTGGATTTCAGGGCGTAGAGGGGCAAAGGATTTCTGCGTTGTCGCCCTACATCCTACGCGCTTGCCCCTATGCCCCACACCCTAAACCCGAAACCCAAAACCCTAAACACTTCATTGAACCCACAGGACCATGTAGCCATGTAGTTAGAAAGGCCCAAGAGCGGGCTCGGACCTTTTGTGAGGCTGTTCAGAACCTTTGGCACAATGAAGCCTAAACGCTTCATTCAAGGTCTTCAGGACGCAGTGAAGTACTTTCACGGTTTTGTAGGCTAAGCCTGAAGCCCTGAACCCTAAACCCTGAATCCTCAGACCTTTATGTGCAAGGGTTTAGGGCTTAGGGTTTAGGGTTTAGGGTTTAGGGTTTAGAATGCAGAATCAGCCAGCATTCTCTTGCACCAACTTGTCATGAAGTTCTCCGGGAGTTGCGGCTGAAGGCCTTGTTTAGATCAGGTTTCTCGCGTCCGACTGCAATAGCAGCGGCGTGTTGTATTTCCGTATACGTTAGGAACCCGTGCGGCCAGCAAGACCATGCTTTGGTACTGGTACGTCGTCCTGTTCGGAGTGGTGGAAGGTGTGCGGGAAGTAATGGAGCTGCAGACATCCGACGATCAGGGTCGTAGTGACGTCTGCTGCTGCCAAAGTCACATGCAGGAGAACAAAGCAAAGGCGAGGGGCGGGGAGGATTGGCAAGAAGTACCCATCAACGAAGGCAAGTGCCTAATCTTCAAGCAACTGAGGCCAGAGCGTCCTTTCTGGTTTCATGCAGCGGAAACGAACTACAGGTGCTGTTGGACCTCCGGGTACTTCTGCACCTCGAGCATGAGTATCATGGGCTCATGGAACAATGGTGGCGACAAGGTCGAGGGCGCAGCCGCACAGAGGGCTTGCCCCATCTCCACTTCCCCCAGAGGAACCCTGGGTCCTCCGGACAAGACCTTCGCATTCAACCGCGAGTGGGCCAACGCCGAGAAATCCATTGTGAAGATGGTCGCCGCAAACACCTTGGCCACGAGCGTGGGTGCTGCCAACGCCGCCGGAGCAGGAGGGCTTCACGTGGACGTGGCGCAGACCGTGGATCATGCGCGCAGTGCTTCTGAGACAGCTGAAGACGCTCGAAAGAGTGTGAGGCAGCACACAAGCCCCAACGCTAGGCCCTAGGCAGAACTGAAATGTTTCGCCTCAGGGGACCGTGCCATAGCTCAATATGAGGACGACGAAGCTCCGTCGGAATGTTCTCGATTTCAAAGACACTGGACAAGGTAGAAGAAGCTGGCCACAAAAGGTGAAAGGGGACCTGAGACTGTAGTTACCTACAGTTTAGTAGTAGCTACGCCGCAATTGATAGCTAGAACCCATAAACTGTAGGTAGCCACCCAGGGACGTCCTTTGTAGATTCGTTTAGGGCCCTAATTTCGAAGTAAGCCCCAAACCGTAAACCCTAAACCCTAAACCCTAAAATCCTAAACCCTAAACCCTAAAATTCTAAGCCCTAAAATTCTAAATCCTCCAAGATCTCAAGACTGAAGTTGTCTAGGGGCAAATCCCTCCCCCCAAGCCCCCACGCAGCCTTTATTTTGGGACATTCCAGTCTGCCCAGGCCAAAAAGAAACTCGCGCAAACCCCGGTCCAAACTTTCGCCCACGACTTTTGCCCACAACTTGTAAACCCAAATTCTTCTAAACCCGAAAACTGGGTGGGGATGGGCAGAGGCGTTGTGGCTGGGGACCCTTCAACTTGCCCGCCCGATGCGGGTTTAGGGTTTAATTAGGGTTTAGGGTTGAGGGTTTAGGGTTTAGGGTCCTCCATGGACAAGCAGCCCACCCCCTCCCCATCCGCATTTTGAGGCTTTGGAGGGCGTAAGGAGGGGAAACCCTCCCCAAAACCATCCAACACGCCCCCCAGGGGCTGCGGACCTTAAGCCCTCAAACCCCACGCCCTAAAACCTAAAAACCCTGAAGCCCGAAAACCCTAAACCCTAAACGCTACATTCCTAGACCCATGTATTACCATATCGCATTCTTTATAAAACCAATTCCACCCCAATGCAATTTTGTACAATTTCAATCAGCCCTCGGCATGGCACTCAAAGGCCATGGAAGCCGACCTGAAGGATCGCAAGAGGAAGCTGCTGAGCTTACGGTCGATTCGGAGTTGTTGTGCTTTCTTCTTCTTCTTCTTCTTGTTTTTCTTCTGCTTCTTATTCCTTATTATTATTATCATGATCATCATTATTCTTATCATTATTATTGTTATAATTGTTTATTTGTGTCTGTGTGTGTGTGTGCACGCGTGCGTGTGCGTGGTTGTTCTGGGGGGGGGGGGGGGGGGGGGGGGGGGGGGTTAGGGCTGTTTCGTGTTCTGCTTGGGTGGGGGGGGGGGGGGTTCCGGATTTACGGGGTCTTGAAACCCTAAACCCTAAACCCTAAGCCCTAAACCCTAAGCCCTAAACCCTATACGGGGGGACAACCAAGGAAGGAAATCAACTCCCCTAATCGCCCTGAACCTATATTCCCCAGATCGAACCAAGAAACAAACGAGAACACGGATAAGAGCAACCCAGGGGGGAAGGAAGGGGGAAGGAATCCACACCCTTACCAAACCCTAAGAACCCAGGCACTACTTTTTGAACTTGTGGCTTATTGTTCAAGCCCATCTTGAGCCAAATATGTTTTCCGGGTTCATTAACCCTTCCAACTCTCAACACTAACTCTTTTCTACAATACCAGTTGCAGCTCCGCACTCCCCCTGTCCTAGGATTTCCTAGGACACATTGGAGGTGCAGATCTTTGGCCAAAAACTGCCATTAGGGCAGCAGCCAGCTGCTTGAAATGCACAATATGGTTTTACGTCTACCAGGACGAAATTATAGCACATTGGCTAAACCCACGAACCACAGAGAATCTTTTTTCCACCATGATCCTCTTATCATTGAAGACTCTTCGGCCTTCTTCACCACAAACCGTGGTCTTCGCTACGCGAAAAGCTACTAACTTCTACTATCAGGGATTTCCATACCCTTAATAGTAACCACCACATTTTCAGCACATTGGCCGATCCAGCGCACCTGTCTCCAGAAAGAGAAAAACCATCCCTTCATCCATACCATCCAGTCACTTCTTCTTCCGATGGTTTGCAATACTGAGGTGAAGTTGCAGCAGAATATACTCCAGGTCCGAAACTGCAAGAACAGGATCCTGCACACACCTTTGAATTGAGGATACCAATCCTTCTCTCTTTGCGTCCTCAATCGCTTGGCAAGATTGACCCAGCTCTGCACTCACAGCTGTAGACGCTTGCGCATCCACATCAGAAGGACGATCCTTTTCCTCAGGACCTTTCACCACCACCACCTCTCCCTTTTTGGGACTCTGACTTTTCTCCTTCTTCTTCGCCTTTCCACCGACGTTTGACTTTGTGCGCATTTTCGAGGCTTTTTCCCCTGCAGAAACCGCCGCATTGGATGATGATCCACTCTTCTCAATGGTCGCCGGCATCTTCTTCGGCTTTGGAACCAGGAGAGTGTAAGGATCTTCGATAACTGCAGTTTTCCTCTTCTTTTTAACCTTTTTTGCCTCCTCCTCAACGGCAACCTCCGTCTCAGAAGTCTCAACCACCTCCTTTTCGGCAGGAATATCCTTGCTGGACTCCCTTTCTAGGGACCTCTTCTTGCCCCTTTTGGGATCTTTTTCTTCTTCCACGTTGGCTCGCTCGAACCATATCCTCAGGTCATTGACCCATTCTTCCACCTCCTCGAGCGAAACCTCATACGACTTCACTACTTCGTGAAGTTCCAGCACGGACAACATATCGGTGGTCCACGAAACCCATTCTCTATCCATCTGGTCAGTATCTCCATTGAACTTCAGGAGTTTGAACAATGGGTCCGCCTCTGCTCGAGCCAAATCTGTTTTGCCATTGGACAGAAATGAAATCGCTTCCATCAACAGTTCCGACATTTTGGTGTCATCGTCATAAGTCATGGAATACTCCTCACCATCATCGAACTGTTCAGGAGAGATCTCCTTTTCTCCACCTTTTGCACCAGAACTTCTCCTTGGACCATCCCTTGGGGGCGTCCTTGGAGACCTTGGCCTCTGTTCATTCAGCGGATCACCATGCTCAAAAACACACCTGTCACCATAACGACACTTCCCAGACTGAGCAAACTGAATGCACCTCACACCAGTTGCATCATGCGAGAACGCACACTTCTTTCCAGCGAAACAGGGTCTCCCCGCCACATAGTATTTGCACCAATACGAATGCAGCACCACATCATCTTCTGAATGGATGAATTTGCAGTCTTCACCAAATTTGCAGCGATCTTTTCCCTTACTGAACCAATAGCAGAAGCCTTTCTTCCTCTTCTCCAAGCGCTCCGCCTCGTACCGGTCCATAGGGCGATTCTGCTCTACATGAACATTGCCATGTGCCTGAGAACTGCTCCCTTCACCCAAGGTGCTATCAGTACTTGATGCTTGGAGTACAGCTGGAAAACCTGGCCTTGGTCCTACCACCTTCATGATTGGTTTTCCGCCAGCTCCTGAGCCACGCTGAGACGATCCAAAAACATTGAACTTCTTCATGAAGGCTTTCCTAGTGCCGATCTTCTGCACCCTTTTGATTGGACGCTTCATTGCTCCAACCTTGCATCCAGATACGTTCAAACGACACAACCTCCTATACCCAGCTCTATATCCCTTTTTCCAAAGAGCCATAAGAATTTTAGAGGCAGTAACATTCTCCACCTCTACCTTTTCCAACGATCCCTCACTTCCCGGAACAAACCCATCCAACCCATCCATATCTGAAGACCTTTCCATCTTTTTTGACACCACTTCGTCGAGGTAGTCTTCAGAGATCCAGGGTAAGTTCCTCTTAGAGGAAGGATTGTCACCATTGTTTGGTCCTTCACCAGGATACCCCTTTGTGCTGTCAAAGATCTTACCAGTAGTGCGGTCCTGCGTAGAGAAATTGGAAGCAACGCGAGAGTACACTGACCACAAGAAAATCCTTGTATCCGCCAGTCTTGACGACCCACTGGATGTCTCCTCTTCCGGAGAGACTTCTGGCGCTTTGCCATCCCTTCCAGTGTCACCAAGTGTCTCACCTCCAGCATCTTCAATGGGAATAAGGGATTCATTGTTCCCTTGATCTAGTACCGCATCTTGTTGATCGGGGATCTCCAGCACCATTCCTGTAGGATCCACTTCCTCATCAGCATCGTCGTCCATTCTTCTCCAGAGAACCTCCAATTGATCAGCGCAGGTCGCCGCCTGAAGGAACTCCATCATTTGGTCCCTCCCGTGCTGCCAGAGAAATTCGGAATTCACCACTGTCCCTTGGCCTCCTAGTCTAAGGAATGGAGCGACCAGATTGGCTACCCTTGCCATAAGTTCCACATGAACTTCCATGCCTGGACTGCGACTCCAATCATAGGCTATTGCCTCCATAGCAGTTCCAAACTTTTCAGTATTTCTGAATTCCTTTTCCAGGCCAGGAGAAAGCAGTGCACCCATCACCGAAAGAGGATAATTTCCCACCACCGGCAAGCACGGATCTTCATGGAACGAATGATGCAAATCACCGTAGTGTCCTTGATCTCTCCTTTCAAAAAGGAGTCTCCCAGTATTCAACTGGGCATTCAGTTCATCCACTTGAACCATTTCAGCACATATTCTCTGTGCCGCAGTCGCTATTGCCGACCAGAGAGCACGATCTGCCAACCCACGACGCATAACCCACATAGTTGTCGCCGACTGAATCAGTGTACCAGGGTCATATGCCATGACCACCAATGCACCATCATCCATTCTCTGATCAGTATCATCTTCCAATGCCAGGTTCAAATCCTGTTCGCTTGCACCTTCAGATGACATGCTAATAACCAAGTTTCGATCCATTTTATTGGATCCCTTCTGATAGTCCTTGTGCCCCACAGGCAACTTGCCGACAGCAACCTTCCAATAAATCCGATTCAGAAGACCTTTAACCAGCAATTGCTGAGGAACATTCTTCACCGGACGAACATCCAATGTCTTCGCACCATCACCACGGAGTTCATTGCTCCCACCTTCTCCTTCGTTTTGGTCAGTCTCCTCGCCAGGAATTTGCACTGCTCCTTCCAGCGCCGTCTCCTGTCCAGCCACTTCTTGCCC